AAAAATAAGTAAAAAAAATTAAAAGAAAAAAAGTACAGAAAATAAAGTTAAAAATTTACAAGCAATTTGACAAACCCACATATATATGTATATACAGATATATAGATATACATACGACATATACGTATGTACACATTCACATGAAATATATACATATTTTTGTATATACTGCCAAGGCTTAGAGGCGTTTAAAAACTTTTCGCAATTATTTATGAGTTTTATGAGGCAAAAACCAAAAAAAATCCCAGAGCACACCACACACACACACACACACACATAGTCTTACATATAAAAAATATTTGCCTTTTGACTTGTTCGCCAGCATGTCTGAGAATGCATTGCCTGTTGCGTTTTACACACACTCTTCTAACTTCATAGCCCATTCACCTCGTGGCAGCGCTCTTGTACTGGCCTTTGACGTTGCGCTTGAATTAGTAGCAAATCAATTCATTATAGCGGGCGTCAGAAGTCACATATATATGTATATGCTTGTGTACATATGAGCATATTTACGAGCACACATATATCTTTTGTTGCTTTCACTTTTTCTCTTTTTTTGATACGCTTTATATCATTTAATTTAATTCTTCTTTATGTTCTTTAATTTTAAAAAATTTTATTTTATATTATTTAATTTTTTTATTTTTTTTTATATTATTTTATATTATTTTATTTTATTTTATTTTATTTTATTTGTTTTATTTTATTTTATTTTATTTTATTTTATTTTATTTTATTTTATTTTATTTTATTTTATATTATTTTATTTGATTTAATTTAAATTTATTTATTTGTATGTTTTTTAATATAATTTTTTTTGTATTGTTTAGTGTTGTGTTATTTTACTTGATATTTATTATTTTATTGCAAAAAAATTAAAATTTATCACCAATATACTGGTTGTCTTCTACTTCGAATATATTATATACTCTTCGCTTTGCAAGCACTAAATTGCAACTGCAAGGTGGCCGTCGTTATGTTTCTTTGACGTTGAAGCGTCTAAGGCATATATTTTTTTTCCACATACGTAAATATCGGTGTGTGCTTCTTCTCCGACTCTGTCTGTCTGTCAACACTTGATTTATGTGCCAAATGGCAGCGGGCGGCGATCGTTCGTACGCGTTCACGTTGTTGCGCATGCGTAGTTATTTTGTTATTTGTCGTGTTTGGTTTGAGAAGCGAAAATGTGTATAGTGGTATTGTGAAGCTATTTTATTTGATAAAATTTTTGATTTTTATTTTGAAACTTAGTGGACCAAATAATTATCAATACCAACATCCAAATAACACAATACTAATACCATAATACGAATATTATTATACCAAAACCAAATTGCCAAAACAATGACACCTTTACCTTAAAACAAGCACAATTATACTTGGGTTGTAATGTCATTATCACAATTCCGATACACAACAATGATACTACTATAGCAATACCACAATTGCAATACCACGGATCCATAAAACTACAAAAATATTATTATACCAAAACTGATATATCAAAATCCAACAACAGATATTATTAAATCAAAACGTTTGTATCCATATTATAAGATACCACAATCACACTGTTCGTATCATATATACCATTTCATCTATTTTGTAATATCAATACCTTTATTAGCACTATAATACCATAAATAAAATTACAGTACCATAATAAAAGTATTACAATAATAATACCATAATGTGAATACCACAATCATAATACCAATACTTTTATATTATTCTGAAAATATAATACCACAAATCAAATTGTTTAGTAATGGTGTTCTTATGTAGTTATAGCTCTTCTCATCGATATCAATAGTGGACATTTCACCATATTTTGTCTTCTTCGACACACTGTGTGGACTTGTTGCAGAATTGATGTTCTCTTGGAGGTCGTTACTGACGATTTTTTCAAATCATCTCCTTTATGTAGTTTATTTTTCACATTTTTCTTGCAAACGGCTTCAAGTGCAGCTCCAACTCTACCAGCGACAGTGGCAACAAGTGTGGTTGGTGTTGCCGCCTTGGCATGTTTGCTGCTTTCGATTTCAATTTCAAAGCAAAAAACGGAAAAACAAAGCACAAAAAAAAGTGACTGAGCCATTGAAAAATACAATAAAATAAAAGGGAAGTACTACAAAAGGCAGCATTACAACAGCGCCGCCAAGACAGGCAGGGACAGCAACATTCGGTTTGGTAGCGAGCTGCACTGATTGCATTTCCCCATTAGTGGTTCATCTGCACGCCCATTGATGAAGCGCGCACTTACTGACTCGCAGACTTCTTCGTTGGTTGACTCGCTGGCTGGTTGACTCGTTGGCTGGTTGTTTGGTTAGTTGGCGGGCGGGCTGGCAGGTCAATTGTTGCCCAAACGAAGCTACGGTTTGATGTCTGCACGTTTAAGTGACTGCTGTTACTGCTTCGAGGCAAGTCAACACTGCAACATACAACTGGCGGCGATTTAATTGAAGCTCACTGCACGGCTGGCTTGCAACATATCGATGGCATAACGCAGTTGACTAAGGGAAGTGAGTGAAATTCGCGATACACTGAGCTGAGTCAAATTGCTTAAGTTCGTGCATTGACTGCGACTGTAAAGCGATAGACTCCGCTTTGACTGCTGCAGAGTCGTTCGGTTTGATTGACGGCCGAACAGGTGAGCATGCTTTGACGGTCAAACTTGCCGAGTATTGATACGTCACGGAGTTTATTCAGAAAATTGTAGTGCAGCAGTTAATTGTAAGCATGCACTTTTTTTTTTTTTTTTTTTTTTTTTTTTTTTTTTTTGGGTAAAACAAATTTATTTTCCTCCAAACATAAATGGGTCTGTGCTTTAAGCGAAGGCCACTCGGAGTAATCAATTTGTTGCCAGTGAACCAAATATTTCCCGCTTAAGATGTGCTACAAAACTATTAAAAGGTTGGGTTCTGCCAGGGACTGTCTAAATGAGCATTGAGCATCGCTTTTACAATCGCACATATTTCAGCCAGTTCCACAGTGTTCAAACTTTCATCGCCATGTTCTGGAGGTCAAGTCGTGTACTCTAAGCCATGAAATTGAAATTATTTCACCATGAAATGAAAGGTGGTATATGTATGACTAAGTTGTTTCACATGAAAAAAATCAGATGAAAAGATTTTTTAGTGAAAAATGTGCAAATATTTTTCAAATAAAAACTTTTTCGCCACCACCAACGGTTCTTGAAAAGAAAACTACAAACACTCTCATGAGAAAATAATGAAACCAATTTTTCATTTTTCGCGTAACCGTACAAATTTTAATTTAGAAATTGGAGTGATAATATTTGTGGTTCATTCCGGAAGCTCGCGCTTGATAAATAACTTGAAATATATCCCCTTACTAACTCAATAACTTCACCGCGAAGGCATTTTTTAACAATTTAATCCTTCAACTTCCCTTCGATTTCTACTTTTTTTACCTTTTTCATTTCTTAATATGCTTCACAGTTATATGATTTTAGTTTTACTCCCTTCACTCACACTTGACTGCTCCGTTAAAGGAAAACCTATTTAGTTTTTAAGCCGTCGTAACACTTTAACCGCCAGTGTAAGTCCATGAAATGCAGCAGCATCAGTATTTTCATGGTGGTCAATTTATACCAGCTGCAGGCCATTGTCCATTTCATCCTCTATTATGCGGCATTCGAGCAGATCCCTCTGTTATGTTCTTCACTCAGCGCCCTTTTGCGGCGTTACCCTCTTTTTCCGACCGGTCATAACGCATTTACCAAATGACCTGTATAACTTTGTCTTCTTCCTGTCGATTTTTGTAACAACCGCCGTTGCCACCAGCTCAGAATGTTTACAAGCCACATACATACATACATACATCTCTTCCCGACGCGAATCGCTTTTGTTCCCATTGCGGTTCAACTCTGTGCTCTTTTAACTTGGCCATGCAAACCCGTCAACTGGGTGGTGTTGGTCATGTTCGTACGGCCCCTGCGGCCAACAGAAGTAAATTAACTTTTAAATTGCGCCAAAAAGTTGCAAAACAAAAATCCCTCGAAAAAAAGATTGAACATAAAAAGGAGAAAATAAAAAAAGGATAAAAACGAAAAAAAATATTAAAAAATACAAGAAATCTGCAGATATTAAAAAGCAATGCGCACAAAAAAACACTGATGCATAATAAGAAATTGAAACGTGCATTTATTTAGTAACCGATTCCCAATTTCTTTGCGCTTACTTTTGTGCGCCGATTTTTTTTTCGCTTTTGTATTAATTTTCAACTCCTTCCTCTTCCGTTGATTTGTTCAATTGTTTTAATGATATTGATGTTGCTGCTGATGATGATAATGATGATGCTTGGTATGTGTTTTTATTAATGTTTTTTGTTGTTGGTTCCCATGTACTTATATGTACTTATCACGCAGTTTGAAAATTGAAACATTTACTGGCGAATTACATACCTAATTGAAATTCGCTTTTAATTGATGAGCTGTCAGGTGAACTCGCATGAATGAGTATATTATTCCTCAATAATGATCACTTAATACATCAGCGCAAATGACACATGCATGGTGATCATTACAAGGATGACCGAATGACAAATATCACCTCAAAATATCCAGTATAATTATTTTAAATAATTTATTTTATTTTATTTTGTTTTTTTATATTTTATTTTATTATTAGTTAGTTGTCTTTTAATTTGTTTAATTTGAAATTATTTTCTTTTATTTTATTTTAATTTATTTTATTTTTTTATTTTTATTTTTATCACTTATTCAGCTTAAGCGTGACTCAGTTATTGAGAGAGACGAAGGTTGGTTTCCTTCTGAAATTTTATAGCATACATAATAAATTGCATTTGTTTAATGAGTTGCTAATAACATTTATTCATATAAAAGCTATCAAATTTTTATTATCTTGAATTTCCACTTATGCTAATATTTATACAATTTTTACAATATGTATAATTTCTACTGTTTTGAATTTGTATTCCTTTCTTATTAATATATATAAAATCTCCTGTTGCTTTTCAGATTTTACAACAAATGCCAATTGCATATTCATCAGTACACAGAGAATGCAACAGTCTGATGGACGACGGTGAGTCAGAAGTGTCATTGTGAGACATGATAATCAATTGTTTACTTTAGCCATACGAAACTCTTATGAAATCATTCAACAATCAAAAAAAGATTTTATAAAATATGTGAGAAATGTATACAAAAATATTGAAATACCGTTAAAAATACAAATATGTCGGGTGCAGAAATATTATAAGAAATTGCTTTACCAGATAATTACATTAAACTAAATAAGAAAAAATAAATAAAATAAAATAAAATAAAATAAAACAAAACAAAATAAAATAAAATAAAATAAAATAAAATAAAATAAAACAAAACAAAACAAAATAAAATAAAATAAAATAAAATAAAATAAAATAAAATAAAATAAAATAAAATAAAATAAAATAAAATAAAATAAAATAAAATAAAATAAAATAGAGTAAAACTCATCAAATGAGAAATGAGAAAAGAGTACGTGGTATAGACTTTCATTTTTCCGATCATAGGTCTCTAGTACCTGTTTGTATTGCCATGTGCTTTACTATTAGGCGGTAGTAAAAAAAATTGACCTTTTTACGCATATATTTTCGCTCATATTACAATCTCCAGAGTTTTGTCAGAAACATACTAGTCCCATTCAAGTTCGTAAAGAACAAGAAAAAATTATTAGTTACATTTCGAACAAATAATATTTTCGTTAAAAATAATAATAATAATAATAATATGAAAAGTGAAAGCTTTCTTGCATTAAAAAATTTTTTTTTAGAATCGAAAATTTTCTGGTGAAATAATTAGTTTTTTCATTATATAGGAAATAAAAAAAAATTAAATACATTAAGATATGGTGTTAATAATTGATTACTGTTGAAAACAAACCAATTTCATATTTTTCGGACTAGTATGAATGTAGTGAGCAAATAGTAGAGAAAAACTAGTACTGAACTACTGCTAGACTAAGTCTTTTACTGCATTAAATGGCTCATTAGAGGGGTATTGGAAAATTAACTAGCGACTTTGCATGAACTTCTTTCATGGGATGTTGGTATCTTAATGTTGTAGTTGTTGTTTTTATTGTTATAACAGCTGCGGAGATTTATTCTAGAGATTGCTAGCGTTGTAAATCATTCGATTTTTCTAATGGCACATGTTGCTCAGTTTTAGTATCTCTACTGAGCTAGATTCCTAACCTAATTTAGAATATAAAAATAAGGGTATAAGCTTTCCCGTTTCGTCGAATTTCCGTAAATTCAAGGCATGCCGGAAATAAAAATGAAACAATTTATTTGCTTCCATATTCAACATCAAATCAATCAGTCATCCGGCGAAGTGCTATCATTCATGAATGAATTTTCGCAACGAACGATTGACTATTGAGCAATTAAGCCGAATGCTACAAGTTAAAAATTAGCAAAAAAAAAAGACAAAACAAAAAAAATAAATAAATGGAAATCAATAGACAATGAGAGCAAAGTACAACAACGAAAATGGAAAAAGTATATGAGAAAAATGTTTAATTGGGAAAATGTTGTGTAAAAACATCAAACAATATGGCAAACGACTTAATTAAATTCGCGTAAATTTCAATTACTCTGTAGAAATAACAACAAAAATGAATAAAAAATAGATTAATTAAAAAAAATAGAAAAAATGTGCCAAATAGGCAAGCGAGGTTTATGTAGCAGTTCTATTATTTTTTCTTTTATTTATTTTTTTTTTTATTCTCCGCTATTTTTTGTTTTCATTTTCATTTTGATTTAATTTTAATTTTTTTTTTATTTATTTATTTTTTTTTCTGTAACTAGCCACTTTATAAGGTTGCTTATTGAACTGAGAGTTGATGTCTTACATATTGATGCAGTAATATTGTATATAAATTTTTATGAATGCATACATATGCATGTATGTATGCCCATAAACTGAGAAATAGCTACACTTTTGCGCCCATTTAGGGAAGCTCATCAGCTAATTGACAAGCCGGAACGAGTATTTTTCAAGCAATACATGTACATACACATACACCCCCTCGCACCTAGCCAACATTTCGCTAAGTCACAAACACACAATTCACAGCTGAACATTTTGACAACTGAAATATATGTATATACATGTGTTTCAGTGCTGTGTTATGCTCGGTTTGTCGATTGTAGACAAGTGGCGATGTGTAGTTATTTTTAGAGAATTTATAGCGCGAAAATAGAAAAGTGAGGAAAAGAAAAATGATAAATATATATACATACACCTAACGAGCTTTGTATTAGCACTGCATGGAAATATCATACCAGTTACAAAATACACTAGTTTGTCACTAGTAGTTTCTGACTAAAATCGTACTAGTCCGAAATATATAAAATTTGTTTAATATGCTTAATATTCATAACTATCACCATTTTAAATTTATTTAATTTTTTGTTTCACTTGTAAACTAATGAAACCAATTTGAGTATTTTACCAGAAGATTTTCGCTAAAAAAGTAAAATTATGGGCAAAAATATTTTTATTTTCCAAAATATGCAATTTTTGATTAATATTGTGTTTTGACTAACATACTGGTTTGGAATAAATGTAACTAGTAACTTATTGGTTCATTACGAACTAGTATAGGACTGGTATGCTTCTGACAAAAGCCTGGCAATTGCATAAAAAGAATATATTCGCTTTAAAAATAGAAAATACTTATCAAAAAAAAAATTTACAATATAGCTAGCTAAATATAGCAGTTTCAATGCAGTTCTCAACTAGAGCATTTAACTCTGTAGTATATATAGCATACAATCATATAGTCACCATATATAATGTTACGAAATCAATATATTGAATACTATAGTGCTTAGTGCATTACTGCTAGAATGCTAAAGAGAGAAGTATTGAAAAAGTGCAAAAGTTTTCATACCTTGCACTCCTGTAAGCGATTTGACGGCAAATCGGACATTTTTTATCGAAAATAATTTATAGAAAATGTATAAAATATATTTTTTTTTAAATATCATTAAATCTATGTATGTTATATACAAAAAAAAAACTTAATTAAATAAAAAAAAAATAAAAAAGTAATATTTAATCTAAAAAATTGCATGAAATTTCATTAAAAAATCAAATTTTTGCAAAATAAATTAATTTATTACATTTCAAAATAACTTTATTGAATTTTAATTTTTATTTTAAAATTTCAAATCATTTCGTTTCTTCTATTTACTTATTTTTCTTATGAAATAATAAAGTAAATGTGTAAGGAGAGCTTCTCCACCAATACTGTTCCACGTCTGTATGCTGACGAAAAGTCTACCGTAGCCCATACGCATTTGGCATACAAAATCAGCGCTGTCAACGCAATGGAGAATAGACAAAATTTAAAAAAATATTGTAACGAAATTGTGAAAATATAGAAAAATAAAATAAAAACATAAAAAAGGCAAAATTAAATATATATAGCGAAGAATTCAATTTAATTAATTTCGTCAAAATGTTATATGCTTTTATACAACAAACACACATGTATGTGCTCCTAGGTATGTACGCAAACAATTGGCATTCACATTGTTTTTTTATTTTTATTTTTCTTTTTTTGTTAAAAAGCAAAGTTTTACTAGAGCATACTGAAAAGAATTAGTATGCAGTAGCAATAAACACTGAAGTGTTCTTTTTATAGTTTTTTTTTTTTTTTTGCTTTCAAACACATACATAAATCAATCAATTGTTCAAGCGCATTTTTGCTAATATTTGAAAATAAACAAATACTTTGAGTTAATTTAGAAAAATAACAACATAAATTTTGGAAAATTAAAAATAAAAAATTAAAAAAAAAAACCTTAGTCGACATAGTGTTGGTTATTGTTATGGTTATCGAGGTGGTAGTATTCATCATCAGCATTTCATATTCAGGTCGACTTGGTCGCAAGCTTTTAAAGAGAACGCCTTGAGTATCTCAGCTTGTAATTGCAAGTGTCGTGCGTTGAAAAAGTTGAAATTGTCACTTGGAAAACGATTTAACTTTGAGCAAAAATTAACACAAACTTGGCCAGCCGCCAATGTCACGCAGCCAACGGCATATGAGATTTAGGAAATCAAATACGTAAGCGGGGATTATCGTTTCATTCTCATAGGTACTTTACATCTTTTATTATTTCAATAAAATAAAATATCCGGTCTACTAAAACTTAAACCACTATTTTTGCATTAAATTGAAGGCTTTATTTATAGTAATTAGAATTATCTGATTTTTGTCAAATATAGAATTTAATATGTCATTTTGAAGGTATTGTTATTATGCCTCTCTCATAGGAACTCTTGTTATTATTGAGCAAAATTAAGAGAATTGACTTTCATAGACATCTTTTGACTCCAGTTTTTCACCAGTCATATCATTCACCATAGAGAAGAGTAGCTGATAATCATTTGGAGCGTGGTTCGGTCTATAAGATGAATTCATAAGAAATTTTCGTAGCTTCTAACGAGTCACAGCCGATGTGTGTGATCTGCTGTGTTGCACGGAGGAATTAAAAATACCATTCTGCTGGCCAGAAGTGGGCGCTTCTGAACTTTTGGCTACCTCTACAAGTTCCAATTGCTGGCAGTACTGGTTTGAGTTAAGAGTTTATCCGTAGGGTTGCAGCTTATAGTGGATAGTGCCCTACCGAAACTGGTCGTCAGTTCTATCTTAGAGAGCGTTCGTGCCGGATTTGTTATTACTGTGATGATGATCCACTTTTCATCACTACTCACTAACAGCTTCAGAAGTTAGTTCACGCTTCAACAGTGATACACAAATGGAAATTCAGTTCATTTGGTCTTTTTTTGTCGTTAGCCCATGTGGCAACCATGCACCAAGCTTTTCTGTGTATCCAGCCTATTTCAGGTGGGGCCAAACTGTTTTTTGTGCAATTCTCTCGGCTCTCGAGCAATCGAAACTGTGCTCGCATGCTATTCAAACTCGATGATTTCCATTATTTCATCGACATTGTCAACGATGGACCTGCCACACGGTGGATCAGCTCTTGGATCAAAATCAGCCAAGCAATATCGACGGTTACAGTATCA